CCGGTGGTATCTTGGCCGCAGGAGGTTTTTAACAAATACGATGTCGCCGCTTGCTCCTGTGGAAGATGAGCAGGACTTCCACTTCGGCATGCTGCAGGAGGAGCCGCACTGCTCAAGCAAGCACATATTACTTTTGGAAAATCCCTACTTGGCTAGCACTTGATTACCCCTGTGATTAAAGGACCTACTTAACCCCATAGACTATGCTGAAATTAATCTTGCCCCCACCCCAATTGAAATAATTACTGAAACACATCTTGCCAAAGGAAAGTCTTGCCAAAGAGAATGTTCGTTCATGGTCTGCTACTAAATTTGAGCTTTCTTCTCAAATGCGCCTGCCTATTCGTGGCATTGCAATTTCTTGCAGAAGCCCACCTCTTCCTCTGTCAAGTCATTCCTTTAAGAGTCATTTTCTTTTTGAGACTTGTGTCAAGGAAGGCTGCACACAATCCTTCTGTCTGCCTTTATAACTCTACAATTAGTTTCTGATGTATATAGAAACACGAGGACTCTTGGGATATACCCTAAGCACTGTATAGTAAAATTTGCTAAATTTCAGCATGCAGAAAACCATGTGGCTCTTGCTGCTCTTGTGCTATTCTGGAATGCAAGGGGTAAGTGTAAGGCTAAAGAAAAGCTCTTGGTAGAGTCAGATCGTTATTTGTTGCTGAGTAATGCTCAGTAATCTAACCCGTGTCCTTGCAGAAAGAACTTCCCAGCTAACCAGTTTTAAGCTATAAATAATACTGATGCTTGGAGAAATGCGAAATACAGTATCAAGGACTTGAGCTTTTACTTGAGTAAAACTTAATCTCAAGAAAAAGTCTAACAAGAACTTTTAAGGATAAAAGTCATTGCTTCAGCGAGGAGAGGGATACATTGGGAAATCGGCCATGAAATGCATGATCTTTTCCTTATTTCCGTTTCTTTTAAAGGTGAAAACTTAAAAACCACTGTCAAAACATACAAGCTACGTGCTGTGTTGCACCCGCCCTTCTGGTTCCTCCAGGGCTTCAGCCAAGCCAACCTTCCACCAAGTCACACCATTCCCAAAGTCACCCAGCTGCGCATCAAAACCAGGAAAAGCTGCCCCCAAAGTTGGTGAGGATGAATTGACTTTGGTACAGCTTTTAAAAGGTGCAAACATGGGAAATATTTAGTAGAGGAAACTGCCAACACGCTGCAGAAGACTCTGCACTGTAATCCCTGGTGACGCTCCCGGAGGGCCAGGAGCTGATGTCACCAAGAAGCGGAAGCTGCAGCTGCAGCGAAGCTATACCAGGGCCCTGCGAGGAGGAGGAGGAGGAGGCAAAGGGGCCTTCATGCACCCTGGAGGAAGCAGGCAAGGGAGGCACACACAGAAGGAGCAGGACAAAAAACATGGGGGACCTGAGAAGGACTGGAGAAAGGAAAAATGAGAAGAAAAATAGGTGAGGAAAAGGGAAGGGAGGAAAGATTTAAAAGAAGGGAAGATTTATAGAGAAATTACACAGGAGAAGAGAGGAAAGCAAAAACACCCTTCTATGAAGAGGAAGGAGAGACTTGAGAGTTAGGCACCAACAAGGAGAAAAAAAAAAAAGACTAGTCACAGCCTTTGGTGTCAAAAGAAGCATTTTCCCGCCTTAAAGTTTAGCATGTGTTTATATGCTTCCCTCTCTGTGGGCCTAGAAGAGAGCTAGTCAGGCCAGAAGCAGAGGAGAGAAAGAAAAAACTATCACACATAATTTCTCTTGTTGCCAAAGAGACCATGGGAACTATTAAATTTTAAGAAAGTAAATACCCAAATTGTCAAGAAGTTTAGGGGAAAAAAGAAAAA